GTGCTGAAGAACGGCATATGCGTGTCCTTTAAAAGTCCGTTAATTGTAATTTACGTTAATTTATGTATATTTCCTCCTCGCGAGCAGAGTTTTGCATTCGCCAGTTGGGTCACCGAGGAGTCGGTTGAAAAGTTTGCCGCCGGGTAGAGTTCGGCCGAGTGAAGAAGAAATTTTTTTTTTTCAATTATTTCAAGTAGCGATCATCGTCGAGTGTGTCTGACGTTGGGTCGTACGGTTGACAATTGTCATCGCTAAGAAATGGGCAAGTGTCCCCATACCTGGCCACACCTGCTTAAAAGCAATGCTCGACTCGAAAGGCGGCGATTTCGGTATTGTAAATTGCACACAACGCGATGTGATGAAACTATATTCAAATTTCAATAAAAACGATTTATGTAATTTGCAATAACTTTTTTTTGGCTTCGTTTTCCTTCGGGACTGACCCACAAGGCTACCTGGCTGATTGCTTCTGATGGCTGGCAGCTACAGTGGGGATTTTTTTTTTCTCACATTTCATCAGGCTCACCGTTAACCAAACTACACGATTGAACTTCACATAAATACCTTAAATCCAGTTTGAGTTCAAATGCAGTGGCATACTAATCCCAATTAAATCCACATCGCCATCAACAACTACTCCTCTTGAAATGAATCTCAAAGCGCAACATTAACATAGCTTCATGTGGTCATATAAAAGAAATACTATCGAGCTAATTTATCAATGATTTAAATTACCAGCACCCTTAAATCATTGTCAGGATCCATGACCAAATAGCATTTTGGTGGCCACTGCATATTTCGTCATGTTTCCACTTTCCTCCGTCTTGTGCCAATACTCTTAAGTAGTCATCTTTCTGCCACCAATTTCCCTTAAAACAACTAAATAATTCCATGGAAAATTCGAGTTCGCAGGAAGTTGACAGGACAACACTATAGCCAGTAGTTGTTAACCCATAGGTCGTGCCCTTCCAAGGGGGGACGGGGGATGCAGGCTTTGGCATGGTCACCGTGCAGGAGAAATATTGAATGCACCTGGGAACATACTGTGGCTTGAGTAACCTGGGAGGGGGCATGGGGGGCCCAATGGCCTTGCCTGGTAGGGGGGGGGGCACCATGTCGACAGAGTTGAGAACCACTGCACGAGACACTGGTAATGACTGGTCCTGGAACAGCAGTATCTAGAATTCGAACACCTTGAAAATATACAATCCACTCAACCCTACCAATGAAATGAGAGATATAGAACAAAGCATGAATAGACTGGAAAACAGATGAAAGCGTTTCCCGATGGAAATGTAATAATATAAGTCCTGTATTTATGTGTAATAGTTAATCTGGAATGGGAACTACTTTGGAGGAAAGTGTACATCCACCGTGATAACCCGAGCACAACATACAAAGCTTCCAACACAGGCAGGTAACGCAGAACAAGCCGATACATTTCAGTTTTATTGTCGAATTGCTGAAAATTTAAACCTGGGACTCTTCTGAACGCAAACGTCAACCGAAACAGTATTCCAGCCAAGGCGATGACGACACATGAATGCTGCAAGTTTTAACATTTGTTAGAGCAAATATGTCGATCCTGAATCATGTCTTGCCAATTGTATTTTTTCCCGCCCAACATATTTGGTAAAAACTCATCTCCATTGCCAACAATGGGACAAATCGCCAAGACTACGTGAAGTTCTGACGGCCGGTTCATTAACACGTGAACCTGGCCCTTTATGTATGATGAAGATCATGACGATGCCAGTTCTACTCAAGGGTTGATGGCAGCATGGGCCATGGAGGCCAAATTTGAGAAACAATAGAAATCTCATCAGGTCGACTTCCACAATATGGCCATCATTAAAAAGGGCAATGGAGTGCAACGGTTGCGATTGCCATTATTCACTTACATCAGGTTTTATCATCCATTACATCCCAGATATTTTAAACGATGTTAAGGCACAAATAGAGGTCTATTTTCAGAGCTGCCTACAGGGAGTCGAGCCTCGGTGTCACATTGTGGATCAACACAAACTGCAACGTGTCACTTCCCACTCTAGTGGACATCTGATGCACGGGTGGGCGATGATTTACAAGACGACCTGCACTGCATCCGTGGCGAACTTCAACAGAACGCATCGCGAACGGTCGCCCCTTATAACTCACTTCCCGACGGGATGACAGAAGTTCATTCCGCACCCAATGAGGTTCCTGGCTGGCCATCTAAACCCCTACGTAAGCGTTGCTATTTCCAATTAACCCTCAAGCCTGCTTTCAGGCAGTGGCAGAGAAGGGTGGCCAATGCCACCTATAACATTTCCTTTTGGGGGCAGTGTTATTGACAGAATGTGTCGGTATCTCGTAAGTTTCACAATGGGTTTTTTTTTATATTGTCACGTGGGGCCATGCTGGATATAGTAAGTCGACTGAAGAGATGCCGATTGGAGCCGCTGTCCTGCCCTATCGCTTGCAGGTGGGCGTTGAGACTCTTGCAGCCTGTCTGGGGTTATGCGATGAGACACTTTGTTTGATTAAATAATGGACAGGGGAGGGGGGTCTCATCTCTCCACGATGAAAACTTGTTTCAAGAATCAGCCAATTGGCCTTCCGGACTAATGTTTGAACAAGTACTTATCACGTTAAGATTTCAACCACTGTAAAAGATTGCATGATCAAACAGAAGGACTTGCGCTTTAGAAATTCAAAGCTCAGTTTGCGTGTTTATTTTGTAAAACGACGCAAGGAAATTTCGGAGACCCTCCGAACACTAGGATGCCACAATGTTGTTGCATAAAGTCAATGCCAGGAAAAGCTTTGTTCACGAGAGCGCCTATTAATGTCAGCACAGGTATGCGCCGTCACCTTTGCCTTCTTGATTTTGGATGTCATTTAATGACCACACTGGGTGCTCATTTCTTGGTCCAGATATAGAGACCCAGGTCAGGAGTAAATTCCAGCTGTGGCTGGTTGCTTGCACACCATGCTCAGGAATCGAACCTGGGTCGCCAATGTGGTGACTGCGGTATGCGAACCACGACAACGCCGCTTCCCGCGTAAATCGCATCCGTTGAGAAACTCAAATTCTGTCACAGTACGATGCTCTTTTCCAATTTTTAATAAGGCAAGTACACTGAGAACATTGTTTTTCAATTCAACATTTGTGATAGAAGCATCGCCGAAGGCCATAACACACTAGGGCAAATTTTTGGGCAAGAATCGTTGCTTCTAATTGTCACTTGCAACAGTTGCTGCACCACTTTCCATCGGGGAGAAAAAGCGTTACCCAAACATGGACGTATCCGATCGTTGCTCCACCTAGCAGGCACCTACAATAACAACTTCCCGTGAGGTTACAGAGGTCACATGACTGCTCGAGGGTGTGTGCCCTGTAGACCAATCACTGTTCATCAGCCACACTTTTCAACAGTTTTCATTGGCTCGACAGAACCCCAACACTCTGTACCACTTTGGTACCAAGTTGCCACAGATGATCATAGCAAATGCAATGAATTCCCCAAACATTCCCGAGAGCTGGGTTCTCATATTTTTTAAAGCAACATAAAGTGTAACTGGCAAGTCACATGACGGCACGTCAGTGGACGTTGTGGCGTCACATGGCATCAAGACACACCGCCTCTAAGTGACCATTAATCTCTACCTCGTCTCCGAGTCTCTCCATCTCTCTTACCCATCTTGCTTGCAACAGGTTACACCATTGCTGTTACACAGCAAACGTTGTCGCCTGTGACAATTGCCAGCGAGGATTTTCCCCCAACATTGCCCAAGAGTAGCGGCACCCATTGCGGAAGCAATATTTCGCTCTTTCGCCACTTTTCACTCGCCACGCTGCACGACGCGGTCCTGACAGCCCATGTTGCATCCTAGTGTCCCGAGGGCCGTATAGCCAGAGTGGGAGTTGGGAGTGTTGCTTGGACTTTGGCAAAGGGGCGGTGTGGGATGGGGGGGGGGGGGGTCAGTGTCTGCGTCAGGGGTTCAACTTGTCCGGTTCGTCAGCAGGGCACACGCGAATCGGAATCCCCAACTTGGAGAAGTGGACGAGAGCTCTGGCCACCTTGTCGGGGTCGATGTTGTAGATTGGGTGGGTTGGTTGCTGCCGAAGGGGAAGAGGCGAGTCGTAGCGGTGACAGTTAGCAGCAGCAGCAGCAGCAGCAGGGCGTTATTGCCCACGTCAAGAAATCCATCTAAACTTCATTTCTTTAAAGGTGCATTTCTTAAGACAAGGCGCCTGGGTACATACATTATCGTTCCAATAAATATTTTAAAAAACATGCAATGAAAATAATAACCACGTTAATTTAAACCGTATCTTTGGCGATGCTATGTTAGTCTTCATCTGTAAATGCCAGGTTAAGCGGGTAATGGTTTAATTAGTTTTTTTAAACTTTTGACGGTCAGACAGTCCCTTTTTCGATGACGTAGGGAATTCACAGGGTGGGAGCCGTGTTTATAATTGCACCCTCAGGATGTTTAGCAATCCCTTGTTGGCAGATGGAAGGGCAGTAGGAGGAGAATATCCTTCAGATAGCAGGGTCTCTGGTCGTGGAGGGCTTTACAGCATTATGGAATGCTATTAGCACGAATTACACAATATAAAAGGAAAGTATTGTTATTTATAGGTCAAGAGACCGACCTTGAAGCTATGCGCCATTGCACTGGCAACATGTGCAGTCTGCGGAGCACAGGCAGTTACATGACTGGTCCTAGACGTACCGGTCAATAGGCTGGGAGCCACATTTTGCACCAACTTTGCGGTGAAGGACAATCAAGGGTGGGAGTGGTGGTGCCGGGATTTAGCGGCATTGCGATATGAAACCAGTGACCCGAATTCGATTTCCTGCCATGGCTAACATAAGTGGAGAATGATAGCTTAACAAGTCCCAACCCCTACTCCCCTCTGCCTTACCAACCCGCACTAACCAGCGTGGTGAAGTATAGCATATGAGGGGGCCATGTAGCCCAGCACCAGGCCCGGTTATCTTTGTTTCCCCAGTACTGTTTGCACACCGCACCAAGGACCAGTTGAGAAGGGGACTCGCTACTGATTTTGATCCATGGCCGGGAATCAAACTCTGCTCTCTGGGTTCGTATTCTCAGCGCCCAAAGCCACTGTGCACATGCAAACAGACGTCACCCACCAGGGCATTGCTCTCCTTCCCAACGATGGTATCCTTGGACAAGCCGTCTTTACAGAAGTGCTGAGCCACAGAGAGACCGCTCAGGCAGTAGCATGTGTGGTAGAAGTCCCTCGCCCTGCAACGGCAGTTGCAAAGCAATCAACACAAACTCCCGCATGCCGATATCCGCAAGCCCTTGCTGCTTGCTTGCAAGAGGCTGTGGGCACTAGTAAAATGGCACCACAGCAGGGACAGCTGCCATCAGAGGGTCCCCTGGGATGAAAGCTGCACTTTAAGACGTTTGTTATTTGGCGATAAATGAAAGCTATTTTGGTGATGCTGTGTTGGCAGTGGCACACAAGTACGAATTCCAACAAAAAAACACATTTTACAAAAAACTGCCAGAAAAAGGAAAAGTATATAAAGCATATGCCGTTGTCATTCACTCAGATAAAGGCACAGAGGAACTGCCTGTTCTCTCGTCCTTTCAAACAGAAACCGCAATCCTGGCCCAGTACGTGCCCTGAGAAGCAAGCCTTGTGTTTTTGGTCACCCTGGTACATCGACGTTTTGAGATGTGGGTTTTGGCATCGAATGGAGAAAATCAGTTGGATGGAAAGAAGATAAATGTCGAGGTTCTAGAGAAGGTTCCAAGGCAATTGGAGTCAAAATCTTTATTTATACTGGAGGAATCCCATGAGCTGTAAAGCTCTTTTTCACAGACGTCCGGTAGACAGGATGGTGGAAGTTTGAGCCATTGGGCAGAGGAGTAAAGAAGAAGGTGACTCAAGGAGGAGGGGACTTACGAAAATATCTATTTTTTTAACTTTCATTCATTTATTTTACCAGGTAAGACCCACTGAGCTATATAGCTCTTTTTCAGAAGCGACCTGGCCACAAATGATAGCCCAACGAAGTGGCTTAGCATCACGTGGAAGTTTTAGTAAGCAAATACTCTAAACACATGTTAATTTTACATGTGGAGGGGAAAAAACCGGAGGACCCAGAGAAAAATCCACGCGACCACGGGGAGAGAGACATGCAAACGCCAAATATTCAGGCGTTAGGGTCGGGATCAAGCCCATGACCTCCTGTATGCCAGGCGAGGTAGGAAGGGGCTGCCGTTCAGAGAAATGAAGAAGAAAGCTCAAAATGGGACAGGATGGTGGAAATTTGAGCCATTGTGCAGAGGACTAAAGTATAAAGATGACTCGAGGAGGAAGGGCCCTACTTTCCGGGTTTGTCCAACAGCCCTCCGGCAACATGCTGGCAGCACATGAGCAGATACTCCTGCAGCGCCTCCTGGTGGAACATCCAGCGCTGCTCGCTCAGCGCTTGGTCCCCTGAACAGCGTAAACAAAGACAAGACAAAGATCCCCCGTGTAGCCTTCGACTTTTGGAGCAAGTGCATGTTAGCAAGAAGCACCTATGAAGGCAGGGCACAGCACACGAGGGGGGCGAGCGGTGAGCGCCATTCCCAGCCGCCTTTGTCTCCCTAGCAGTGATGTTACACATCGCACGAGATTGGCACGGTTGGTTACGTGAGGTACAAAAGATGTTCATCGTACATACATACAGGGGAGGCCCAGGACCGGTTCAGATAATCGCCACTGGTGTTGGCCATTAATGGGAATCACCGAGTGCGTAGTACGAAGTGCTAACCACTACACTACCGCTCCCCGCAGCTCAGGGGACCAAGCTCAGCGCTTACTCCCTGAACAGCACAAACATGTGCGCACGCACACACGCGCACACATTCAGAATCAGAATCTTTATTTAGCCTGGAAGAATCCAATGAGCTCTGAAGCTCCTTTTCAGAGATGGGCGGGTCAATGAGCCCAATCCACTGTCTTTACAGCAATCGAGGCCCGGCGCTTGGAGGGTTTTTGAGAGATCAAGTCAAAGATAAAACTGATGGGGCAATGTGAGGGGCAACGTTGCCGGCATCGGCACTCCCAAGACGCCACGGTTGATCATGGTAAATGCATTGGCCATGATGGTTTACGGCAATGACTTCTCTGAATGTGCACTTGCGCAGGGCTCTTCGTCTGTATTTTCCATAGGGTCACGTGATAAAATAAGTGCGCACTGATGGGCCACGTGACATCGTATGCGACTTTGTGAAGCCGCATGGCAACGTGACGTCACGAGGACGTATCGCCGATCCGCGCCTCTCATCTCTGAGCTCTCTCATCTCGCTCTTGTTTGTCTCGCCGTCATCTCTTGCCCACAGCTATTTTATCGGTCTCTTGCTCGTCTCTCTTTAATCTCACAAATATTTGCCTCTTCATGCAACAGGGCCATTCGAGAAAACCTTTAATCCCCCACATCTGTCTGGAGCCATACGGCGTCACGACCATTTTTGTAACGGCAAAGGGGCGGCCCCGCAAATGCTTGCTCACGACACTGCTGACGGAAGGCCCTCTGGTGAATGGATATTTGGCCTACTCTTCCACGCCGAGCAGACTTCTTGGAAGAGGTTAGCGTACCCACACACACTTTGCCCCAGCACACACGACCTGTCGATCGACTACACCGTAGTGTGTTTCAACCGCTGCGCCGAGAGATGGAAATCGAAGTGGTGACCTCCCCCTGCCCCCTCCCTCTCCTTCTTGATTGTTAGTCCAGAGCGCTGACCATTACACTGCAGGGCAGCTCCCCCATGCCATTTAAAGTGCAGCAGTGTGTGAGATGAGTGGCAAGGCAGGGAATGGCAGGGATTGTATTGGGGGGGGGGAAAGGGAGAACGGGGGGGGGGGGGGGACGAGCCTTACCCTCATTCATTAGGGATCGATGTAGCAGGGGCAGCAGCCCCGCCTGCCAGAACGAGTAGCAGCCGTCCACCAGCTTGTTCGTACGGCCCTGGAAGCCGCCTTCGAACCTCATCTGCCTGTTCACGACCCACCGCTGCCACCATACGCAGAGAGCAGGAGGAGCACGAATCATCGTTAGCCTCACGCTGGCCCGATTGTCCAGGGCAGGGGTCGACAACCAAATTAACAAGGAGAGCCATTATTTTTTTTCTAATTCGGTACAAAACGCAATATTTCAAGAGCCGCAATGCATACATATATACAGTCATACCTCGGTATACGACTGCTTTGGAATACGTCGACTTTGGTATACGTCGTGTTTTGACAAGAAAAAATGTCTTGGGATACGACATCTTGCTTGGGATACGACGCGCTTGCTAGAACTTGTATGGGTCGGGATGAGTCACCGCGTACAGTACCCGCGTACACAACACTGTTACGGCTCTAACAAGCCGTAACAGTATTTTGTGGAATGACCAGACAATGTCACACTTCAAGAACATTCTTAGAAGAAGGCAAAAACAAACTTCAGTGGACAGGTTTTTAGTAAAACTCAAACCTGGTGAGCCTCAACCAGGTCCAAGTCAAGAAAAAAAAAGACAGAAAAGAGAAAAAACCCCAGAATTTCAGCTTCCTGAAGTTTAAATGGAAGGGGACTCTCCTTCCAAAAAATAACATCTCCTCCTCCACCCTTCCTCACCACCATCCTCGTAGGCTATCAACTCCTCTCAGCAAAGTAAAGTGACGTTACAATTTATTTTTTTCAATTTATTTTAATTTATGTATGCATTTTAGTAATAAGTAGTGTCTAAATTATTTTATACAACCCCATTAATGTATAATATGCCATATAAAATATAACTTCTTATACTCTGGAACGGATTATTTCCTTTCCCGTTATTTCTCATGGGAAAAATTCGTTTGGTATACGTCATTTTCGGTATAAGTCCTCCTACCTTCTGGAACGAATTGACGACGTATACCGAGGCACCGCTGTACATTACATAACGGAGCAGTCCGCAAAGAGCCATGCGCGCCTCCGCAGCTGCAGGTTTCAGGCCCCTGGTCCAGAGTCAAAGCATCTCCGTGCTTCTCTTAAACAATGTCTCCTTATCTAATATCGTCTAAAATTTTGCCGTCGGCATCATGTCGTGAGATGACGTGCCCGTTCAGATTTCTCGTACAGCGGTGCAACCCTTCACGTTAGAGAATGGCTCGTGGAAGCGGATGTGACAGAGCTATTTCTGAGCTCCATTCAAGTTAACACTGGCGTATGCCGTCGGGCACAGCACTTTCCCGCTATTGTTCGTCATGTGACCGACAAAAGGCTATTTTTGTTTAGTTTTCAGACCTATAATTTAGTCACCTTTAGTGCAGAACCAATTTCAATGTGGTGGTTTTCTGTGCAATAACTGGTGACCAGGCTGAGGCCATCTACTCGCTACACTTGAGAACCCAGTGTAATCACAGTGGACGGCCCACCTAAATATGAACCCAGGATCTCAATGAAGCCGGCTCAGCGCTAAGCTGTGAAAAGGGCTGCGCAAGTGCATGATTATCAACAACCATTACATTACAAAGCTGATCGTAGCAGTTTCATTCAGCGAGGAACGATGGGGAAGGGTGACTGTGCACACCAGAAGTCTTTGCAGATCCAACATTCGCTCCTTGCGCAGAATCACGAGGGCGGCGAGACCGCAGAACGTGTATCCACCGTGCGCCTCCATGCCTGGCACGCCACCAATGCCACCCTCCCAGTTCTGACAACTGCGGTACAAGCGATAGAGGGCAAACACAACCGCACGCATGCGCGTGCAGAGGTATGCCGTGAGTAGGAATTAAACTCGGGTCTCCAGGGTTCCTAGCACTGCACCGCCACTCCCCAATATTAACCGCGAGACACAAACGGGCACACGTGTAGATACGGAGGATGACAGCGCATCGGTGCGTTAGATGAGTATCGGGAAATTATTAAGGTGCAATACCTGACCACCCAATCGGCTGTTCCTTCAAAGAGCTTGGGTTCCATGATGTAGGTGAGGGAAGCCACAGAGGCTGCACAGTACGCGCTCCTAGTGGATACAGCAAGAACAAAAAACTCAACAAAATCACCCTCGAAGCCACGTGCCACCCGAACACTTTATGGGAAGTCAACGGTGGTTTAATATTTTTCTATATATCTTTTAACTACATTTTTTCCCAATTGTGCCATCCCTATATTGTCACGAGACAAAGCATCCATTCGGATATCCGCCATGTACTCTCGCGTACTCTATAGCACATGCACACTCCAGTGACCCTTCTCAACGTGTCATCCAAAGTGAGTACAAAGGTAACACACGTGCTTGCAACTGGTCCATTTATTAATGCACTCAGCCCTGCATAAAACAAAGAATCCATTCGGATACCTCGCACAGCAGTGCAATGCTTCATATTAGAGAATGGCCAACGGAAGTGGAAACTACAGAACTACCACTGAAAATCTCTTCAAGTGACCTCTGCACACCTGTCAATCCATACGGTTTACTCATTCTTGTACAGGCAAATTGAGTTCAGCTGTTTCAATATGGTCAACAAAAAAATGGTCTCCTTGTATGTGTTTCTCCTTTGTGATGGGACTTTGTAGGATGAACGTTGAGATTTACAAGGGATGACCAAGTAGGTCTGATTTGGTCTGTAATAAGGTAGGGCACTGATAAGGGGTTGACAGCTATGCCTCTGGTCCACATAGCCAGGGGGCAGCACTTTCCTACCCACCCCACCACTCAGAGTAACATTCAACACTTGGCAGTCAAACCGATGCAGCCCCCAAGACCATCAACTCACTTCACTCAAGAACCCGGTTTTAAACCCAGGTGGCCGCGTTACCTGACGTCCGTCTCTCCTCCTTCGTGCATGCAGAAATCTCCGTTGGGCTGCTTTATGCGGTACAGGAAACTCTGCAGCTTCTCCCTGTGCGATGCCACAGTGCAGCACAGCACAGTGTCATACCACGGTGCAACACAGTGCGTACCACAGTGCGACAGTGTCGAGTGACATTGTGGGCTCACGTTCTGATGCAGAGTGAAAGAGTAGGCTACGAGGTCAGTGCAGAAATAAAGCATGGAATGCTAGTGCGGTGCGAAGTGAAGGTCCGGGCTACCGGTGCAGAGTGGGTTAATGGTGTGGCGCAGAGTGAAAGCGTGGGGTTACCGGTGCGGTGCAGAGTGGGATAACGATGTGGCGCAGAGTGAAAGCGTGGGGTTACCGGTGCGGTGCAGAGTGGGATAACGATGTGGCGCAGAGTGAAAGCGTGGGGTTACCGGTGCGGTGCAGAGTGGGATAACGATGTGGTGCGGAGTGAAAGCGTGGGGTTACCGGTGCGGTGCGGAGTGGGATAACGGTGTGGCGCAGAGTGAAAGCGTGGGGTTACCGGTGCGGTGCGGAGTGGGATAACGATGTGGTGCGGAGTGAAAGCGTGGGGTTACCAGTGCGGTGCGGAGTGGGATAACGGTGTGGCGCAGAGTGAAAGCGTGGGGTTACCAGTACGGTGCGGAGTGGGATAACGGTGTGGTGCGGAGTGAAAGCGTGGCGTTACCAGTGCGGTGCGGAGTGGGATAACGGTGTGGTGCAGAGTGAAAGCGTGGGGTTACCAGTACGGTGCGGAGTGGGATAACGGTGTGGCGCAGAGTGAAAGCGTGGGGTTACCAGTACGGTGCGGAGTGGGATAACGGTGTGGCGCGGAGTGAAAGCATGGGGCTACCTACCGGTCGATGACTGCGTACGACTCCTCCGTGCCCAGGATGCAGAGTGCGTTGACGGCCGCGTACGTGGGCGCCAGGTGCGCCTGCTGTCCCGGGCCGCCCCCGAAGCCGCCGTCCGCACACTGGCAGAGCTTGAGGAACGCACACACACTGCACGCGGCAGCACGCGGCTCAGCATCGCAAGTTGATTCACCGGCTCACCAACGCAAGTTGATTCACCGGCATAGCATCGCAGGTCGAATGTCGACATCTCCCTGCTCAAGCGAGCTTCGGACAGCACTCGTCACCGCTGAGCCAATACAGTGTTTGGAAATGTCACATTTGAAATTAAGATGTATTGATACAATTATTCATAGACCAGTAGCAGCGGTGCATTTGTTGTACTCCTACGAATTCAATGATGGGGCATATATATAATTAGGTATATAGCCGGAATGTGGAAGTCATGGACCGTGGCCACACAAGACCTCCAGCTTCGATGCAGCCCGCAAACGATAATTTACTGTCACTGCCAGCATCTTAGCCGCGCTAAATCGGGTACTACAGGGGAATATTTACAACCTTGCTACAACTGCATATCTAATTTTACGTCGCTCAGCCACTCCGGTCACTGCAAATGGCCCCTTTATACTGTGTCCATACCCACACATTTTTTTGCGTTTTTAAACACATCAGAGTACGTGCACCTGGGGCAGTGACCAACTACGGACAATGATGATGTTCGAGTGGGTTGCAGTGCTTGTGGAAAACTGCATTTGATAGCGAAAATCACCATCCCAATGTGTCTATAGAGCAGGGGTCGGCAACCAAAATAACAAGTGCAATTTTTTTTCTCTCATTCGGTAAAAAAACTCAATATTTCAAGAGCCGCAAAGCACGTCAATACGAAACGGTGGGTCCCTAATAAATAACGTCACGAAACAGTCCTTAATGAGCCGCAGAGGGTCCAACCCCTGCCAATGGTAAACTGGACTTCCATGGTGAACTGGACTTCCATGGTCAGGGGTGGGCAACCCAAATAACAACAAGAGCCATCTTTTTCGAATTTCAAGAGCCTCACTGCAGTCCTTAAGGAGCTGCACGCGGCTCCAGAGCCACATGCAGAGGAACTTTTTAAATCAGCGGATATTGCCTGCTATGCCATGTGAGTAAAAAACAAGTGGCTCTTATCTTGTGCATGCATTACGGACGTAACTTGGCTGTGTCCAAAGGCTGTCTGACGTGAATTTGAATCTTCGTTAAGTTTATAATGCTTGAAATACTTTTAAGTGACTTTCAGGAGATCCAATCATATGGCTGCCACAACATGTTTTAAAGTGACAGCAGTCACAGCACAGCGGTGTGACAACAATGCACGTGAAAATCTTTCGTTTTCAAAGCTTTCGTGACTGCAGGGATTCATCTTCTTGGTTCTTTCGGTAAAGTCACGTAGAGGGGAAATAATAAAATAGATAAAATAAAACATAATAAAATATTTATAATAAAATATTTTATTGTTTTATATTTTTTGTTATATAATAAAAATAAATATTTTATAATAAAATATTTAATGTTTTATTTTATTTTATTATTTCCCTTCTACGTGACTTTACCAAAAGAACCAAGAAGATGAATCCCTGCAGTCACGAAAGCTTTAAATCAAAATATTTTCAAGTGCATTGTTGTCACACCGCTGTGCTGTAAATAAAATAATAAAAATAAAACATAAATATTTTATTGTTTTATTTTTTATTATTTCCCTTCTACGTGACTTTACCGAAAGAACCAAGAAGGTGAAAATCTTTCTAAAGTCCTTTTTTTGTTAACCCCTTTCCCGTTCTGAGACATCTGCAAATAGCAGGGTGGCTCCCGCTCACCGCTGAATCTCGGAACGCGCAAGCGGTGAGCGTTAATTTTATTTAGAAAGGCGTAGCGCTGCTGTTTTTAAAGACATTGTACTGTACTCACCAGACAGAACCGTAGCGACACGACCGCGCTCTACGACAGCTGGCGCCAAACTGTGCCACACACCCTCCCACGTGCCTTTTTACTTCAAATTCCGTTCGGAAACGATCCCGTTCCGATAACGTAAACGTACGTAATCGGAATCGGAAGAAAAACTGTTGACGTACGTGTACGTCATCGGAATGGGAAAGGGGTTTAGGAAACTACCAAGCCTGTGTTGCAAAGCCTCCGACACACGGCCACCGAGTGCAGCTACTAAAGAAGAGCCGCGTTTTGGGGCACGTACTCCGAAGCGAGGCTGTCGGGCACGGGCTCATCCAGCAGCTCCAGTCCGTGCAGGATCCAGTAGCAGATCCATGGCCGGCTGGCATCCAGGCACTGGGGGCACAGACACAGCCAGGTCGCGTTTCCACCGAAGAACCCGGAGCTCTGCCGCTGACGCCATACACGGCAAAACTAATGGATGACCCCTCTTCTTGGTTCTTTCGGAAATAATAAAATAATAAAAATAACACATAATAAAATAATTCTCACGACGTTTCGGCCACAATGCAAGCAGCCGTCCTCAGGTGAAGAACAGGTTTGTCGGGAAGACAGCGTCTGAATGAAACACCACCACGCTTGGAGCGTATATTTGAGGATGGCTGTTTGCGTTGTGGCCGAAACGTCGTGAGAATTATTTTATTAGGTTTTATTTTTATTATTTTATTATTTCCCTTCTACGTGACTTTACCGAAAGAACCAATAAGATGAATCCCTGCAGTCACGAAAGCTTTAAATCGAAATTTAATGGATGACCCTTACGTGACCGACCAAGAACCCGGGATTGGCTGAACCAGGAATAGTGGTCGTTGGTGTCCTCGCATCCCATCTTAAGAACCTTAAACGTGCCTCAGTTTGGCTCTATAAGCCTCTGGTAATAACATGGAACCCTCAGCATCCTAAAGATGCCCTGGTCTGGCTCTGTTATTGCATCAGCTGGCGTGTGCAGCGACTGATCGTGTCCACATATTCGGTTGAGTATGAAATGCACATTTAAAATAACAAGTGCAATCATAATATCTGCCACTCATTGCCCTGCCACGAGGTCCCATGTAACATTCATTTATTGGCAACAAATGCGGCTTATTAACTCGGACAAAAGTTTTGCTTGTGTCAACGCATGCCTTGGTCTAGCTTTGCTCAAATTATACTATTTACTAGACACTCACTCACGCCACTAACGACTCGCCTTACACTGACTTCACCAGAGACACTCACTACTCACCACACACTCATCAGACACTCGCTATCCACCATGCACCACACACTCATCAGAAGCTGCTCACCACTCATCAGACACACAAACAGTCAGCACCGACTGAATGTGTGGTGCACAGATATTTTAGTTGGGAGCCTGTCTCTCAAGAGTCATTACTGTGTAGCAGACTGCATAAAATCACCATCTCTTTCGCACAACGCACACACATATCAAACAGGGGGGCACTATTACCTCGTATGCGTCCGATAAATGATGCAGCCCTTTCTTCAGATACTGATAATGTCTGTCTCGAAATAAAGTGGGTCTGGGAGAGCAGACAAGAAAGCACGAGTTGTAGCACAGAAAACCTGACACACTGCACAGCTGTTATCCAAAGCAGCGATAAGACATGTTGGTGCACCACTTAAAAGTAATATTTTTGCTGCGAGGTGGCCATGAAGCAGTACGTAACACCCATCTGTAGGGAACTTTTAGTATTATCACTTCGGGCTCAGCGGGCTCGGCGGTAGGGCGAGCGACTCACAATAGGAAGGTTGTGAGTTCAAATCTTGATTGGGGCTCGACTCAGCCCATCATTCCGCCCAGGTTGATTTAAACGAATGATACCACCCACTTTATAGAGAAGTCAACAGTGGATAGCTCTGACCCTCATCATAGGAATGTAGAAATCGCACAACTGCCTCAGGGCTGTACGTTTAACTTATTTTGCACCGTGCGTAGCCAACCGTGCTAATCGGAGGTGCAATGTTAATAGGAGTTGAGCATTGCCCCAGCGCACACTTTTGTTTTAATCTCCAGTCAATCTGATTTCGTCCTGCTGTCACTGATTAAAAAGGAACTGGCCAAACATCCCAACGCCAAACTGAAAATTCTGCAAAAATGGTAAGAATGCCCTTGACAAACGACGATAACCACACGAGCAGAGTGTTTACGTATTTATGTTGGCGTACGCAACTAAATGGCCAAGGAAATGACGGAATGACAGCCAAGGGACGGAACGCCACCGAGGCTACGTCTGCCGAGGAGATGGTGGCACGATGAAATCAGCTCGCGTGAAGGTGCCGGGTGGATTGTTCTATCGCACGATTGTGAAAGATGACGGCGGGCTGGATTGGACCTTCATCCAGTAGCGTATTGACCGTGGCTGCCGATGATGACGATGATAAGCGACATGCACATTGACAGTCAGCAACGAATGCTGACTGCACGTCTGTGTACTGTGATGCTTTACGTGCAGTGTGGGAATCTGGAGACGGGTGCCTTCCTCCTTACTCAGAAGCGGGCGGCTCGAACAATGAGCACGCTTGCTTGATGATGTCTTCAATGCGCTTCTGTGAATTGCAAAAAGAAACCAACCGTACAAATCAGCCTGACAATACTCTCTCGCCTGCCCTCCTATCCACACTGCCATGTAACCGGCTATTGAGTCCGTGGTCCAAGATGCACCGGATATACCACAGGCCGGAGGAGCTGGGATACGAAAGCGAATGGTACATTGCACAGGAGCCATACAACCTTCACATTTCATTCCTCGCACCAAGGACCCATGGCCAAGCACGCTTGGCCACTGCATTCACTCCGTTACCCCCCGCACCAGGATCTATCTGCGCCTCGCTCCCGAGCGTTCTTCATACCGCCCTCGTATTCTTTCCCAATCTCTCTACTCTCACATATCCCGACCAACCCGAGGCTCTTATCTCTCCCCGTCTCTCTCTCTAGTTTCCACATCTATCTTCTCTCCTGTCAAGACCTCTCCTCCTCTCCCCCGACATCTCTTCTCTCTCCGTCTCTCCACCACCACCACTCTCCCATCTCTCCACCACTACCACCACCCTGCCATCTCTCCACCACCACCATCACCCTCCCATCTCTCCACCACTACTCTCCCATCTCTCATCTCCCGTCTCACCACCACCACCACCACTCTCCCATCTCTCCTCTCCCCGTCTCTCCACCACCATCACCCTCCCATCTCTCCACCACCACTCTCCCATCTCTCATCTCCCGTCTCACCACCACCACCACCACTCTCCCATCTCTCCTCTCCCGTCTCTCCACCACCACTCTCCCATCTCTCCCCTCCCAGTCTCTCCACCACTACAACCACTCTCCCGTCTCTCCACCACCACCACCCTGCCATCTCTCCACCACCACCATCACCCTCCCATCTCTCCACCACCACCATCACCCTCCCATCTCTCCACCACCACTCTCCCATCTCTCATCTCCCGTTTCACCACCACCACTACCACTCTCCCATCTCTCCTCTCCCCATCTCTCCACCACCACTCTCCCATCTCTCCACCACCACCATCACCCTCCCATCTCTCCACCACCACCATCACCCTCCCATCTCTCCACCACCACTCTCCCATCTCTCATCTCCCGTTTCACCACCACCACTACCACTCTCCCATCTCTCCTCTCCCCATCTCTCCACCACCACTCTCCCATCTCTCCACCACCACCACCCTGTCATCTCTCCACCACCACCATCACCCTCCCATCTCCACCACCACTCTCCCATCTCCCGTCTCACCACCACCACTCTCCCATCAATCCCTCCTCTCCCGTCTCTCCACCACCACTCTCCCATCTCTCTCCTCCCCATCTCTCCACCACCACCACCACTCTCCCGTCTCTCCACCACCACCACCCTCCCATCTCTCCTCTCCCCGTCTCTCCACCACCACCACTCTCCCATCTCTCTCCTCCCCATCTCTCCACCACCACCACCACTCTCCCGTCTCTCCACCACCACCACCACCCTCCCATCTCTCCTCTCCCCGTCTCTCCACCACCACCACTCTCCCATCTCTCTCCTCCCCATCTCTCCACCACCACCACCACTCTCCCGTCTCTCCACCACCACCACCACCCTCCCATCTCTCCTCTCCCCGTCTCTCCACCACCACCACCACCACTCTCCCATCTCTCCTCTCCCCGTCTCTCCACCACCACCACTCTCCCATCTCTGCTCGCCTGCTCGATGGAGGTGAGGCTGACGACTCCGTTGTCCGTGAACTCCTCGCTGCTCAGCGCGATCCGTGGCGCCGTGGCGGCGCTCATCCTCTCTCCTACTCGCCCCGTCAATCACCGCCTCAAACCTCGTCCACCAAACCTCGTCCACCGAACCTCGTCCACCAAACCTCGTCCACTCAACCTCCTCCCCGCACGACGTCTCCCACACGGCTGCACGGCTCCAATAATCACAGGAACGCGCCCCGTGCAGTCGCAACGGCTGCGAGCTTTAACATCGCAGAATGCCCCCGGGGCCCCGAGTTGCACTGCGGGCGAGCAGCGCGCCGATTGGACGGGCGCCCTCGGGGCGTGTAGCGTTCGCAAATTGCGCAAGCGGTGAAGGAAACTCTTGTTTCGCGTGACGACTGATTCGTTCGTGGGGCGTGGGGGGCGAAGCTTGCACGCCCCCCCGCGCCCCACAACCCCGTCGCGTTTCGATGCGTGCTGATTCGCTCGGTGGCAGCTCTTCCGGGTGGGGGGGGGCCCGGGGTGAGGCCGGGGGTGGGCCGGGGGGGCCCGGTGGGGGGCGGGGCTTGGCCGATTGTGGGCGGGGCGAGGGTGGGGCGGGGGGGGGCCGGGGGGGCCCGGTGGGGGGTGGGGGCGGGGCTTGGGCGGTTGTGGGCGGGGCGAGGGTGGGGCGGGGGGGGCGGGGGTGGGGGCCTTTCCCCATTCCGTTTGTTCATTTGTCTCAGCTGTGGCCAACGGGGGTCGAGGGGGTTGGAGGCCGCTGGGCTGATTGTAAACTGGGATGGTAAAATATTCGTAGGTTTTTTCGGTAAAGTCACGTAGGTAAAAAAAATTTTTAGTAAAATTAATAGAAATAAATTAAAATCACGACGTTTCGGAGGCAACACAAGCTTCCGTCTTCAAGTGGAACCGTCACAGCACGATAGCTGTTACTTGATACACATGCAGACGGAAGCTTGTGTTGCCTCCGAAACGTCGTGATTTTTATTTTATTTTTATTTTACTTTTATTAATTTAAATTTTTTACCTACGTGACTTTACCGAAAAAAACCTAAGAATATGAATCATTGCAGTCACGAAAGCTTCAAATCTAGAAGGGATGGTAAAACCCTGGGAATTGAATGAGTAGAGATTTAATTTAAATAAAAGCGTGCTTCTGTATACGTATGAATAACAAAACACGCAACACATGTGTCGATAACGTTGTGAGTGTGTGTGGCCTTAATAGGGAACGCATGTAAACAGGCGACGTTTCCGGCAATGGTCCTTCTTTCAAAACACCTTGTGCTTTGGCACTTTTTCGGGCAATTGCCGAAGCTTTGTGTATTTTTTTCTTTTAAGGCAGTGATATTGACTTGTTCTATTTGTGTTTGTGCATCACTGCCAATGCTAGGGTGGCAAGATGTTCACTACCTCGACTGGTATGGGTTCGGCCCCGATCCTAACGTTTATATGTTTGGAGTTTGCATGTTCTCCCAGTGGTCGCATGGGTTTTTCTCCAGGTCCTCAGGTTTTTGGCTGCTAAGCATTTCCACATAAGCCTCTTTCTTCACTCGGCTATCAATTGTGGCCAGGTCGCTTGTAAAAAAATACTCATATAGATCAGTGGGCTTTACCCGGCAAAAATAAAAACTTTTTTGTTTATCACCAATTCAGAAGGGACCCCTTCTGGCAGCTTTCGCTATGGGGCCGTCCATAAATGACGTCACGCACCTAGAGGGGAGGAGGGCGGGGTGAGACATTTGTGACGTCACATCAAAAAAGCAACTTTAAACAAATATAGACAACATGTTCTACTTAATTAAATTGACTTTTTAATAAATGTCTTCTACAACATCAGAGTGCAGCGCCACATTAAATACGCACTACAATGACAATAGTTTAAAGCGATTTGAAGCATGTTTTTTATTTTATTTGGGGGGGGGATGGCAGAGCTTTGTGACGTCATATTTGAGGGGGGGGTCTGACTTTTTGTGACGCCGTGTGACGAAGGGGGGGGGGGTCAAATAACGTCCAAAATCGCGTGACGTCATTTATGGACGGCCCCTATGCGGCGCAAGCCACAGCAGCGTTGTTGCTGTGGCTTTCACGCGCGTTTGCCTCTGTTGAACAAACTAATCGATGGAACATTTTAAAAAGCGTTGTGTTACGATTTGTCTTATGAGATTCCTGCTGGATACTCAAACCACTGCACTTAGTGGAATTCCACGGAGATTGGCCACATTGATTGATGAACCAAAGCTCACCGATTCACTAGCTTAGCAGGGGTCAGTCGCCTCATTGATTCTTAACATCGCTACTAACCTAGTTATTGTTGCCATTAATTTCACTCGTTGATTCTTCAATCCATGTCGAGGACTCGGTCTAAATTGGCTGGGTTTTTTTTCATCCAGTGGTCACAGCAAAACTCACCCACTCAGTGACTCACTCACTCAGTCACTTACCCACTCAGTCACTCACCCACTCAATAACTTTACCACTTAGTCACTCACCCACTTAGTCACTCACCCACTCAATTATTCATCCACCCAGTCACTCACCCACTCAATCACTCAAGTCACCCACTCTCACCCACTCAAGTCACTCACCCATTCAATCACTCACTCACCCACTCAGTCACTCACCCACTCAATCATTCATCCACCCAGTCACTCACCCACTCAATCACTTAAGTCACCCACTGTCACTCACCCACTCAAGTCACTCACCTGTTCAATCACTCACTCACCCACTAAGTCACTCACTCACCCACTCAGTGACTCACCCAGTGACTCACTCACTCACCCACTAAGTGACTCACCCACTCAGTCACTCACTCACTCACCCACTAAGTGACTCACCCACTCAGTCGCTCACCCACTCAGTCACTCAAGTTACTCGCCCACTCAAGTCTCTCACCCATTCAATCACTCACTCACCCACTAAGTCACTCACTCACCCACTTAGTCACTCACTCACTCACCCACTAAGTCACTCACCCACTCAGTTACTCACCCACTAAGTCACTCACTCACTAAGTCACTCACCCACTCAGTCACTCACTCAAGTCACTGGCCCACTAAGTCCACTGCAGGTCACACAACACATCTCTTTCTGCTGACCCGCCCATGCTGCATTGTTGACCCCGCCATAGTGAACATGTGAAAGAGCTTCAGAGCTCATCGGATTCCTCCAGTCGCAATGATGATTCTGATTTATGCTTCTTCCCTTGCTCTGATCCGGTTAAGAATTCCCTCCCATCATCTCTTTTTTTCCCGAAGCTGTTATAATAACCTTGCGAAATTCAAGAAACGTGTAAACTTATATCTACGGTATTTAAACAGTTATTCGTACTGCATTTTGCTGGCCGCTTGGATATTTTTTAATCCTTTATATTAAGTTCACTTGCTTGCACGCTTACGACCGTGCAAATCTTTCGGTCGTTTTTTAACCCACTTCCCGTGATCCAATTGAGCTAACATTTTGCACACAGACTCGTTGTGTGTGACAATTTATTTTCGTGAAAAAATTTTTGTTCCAAAATTTTACACTTTTTAGGATTTTTTTTTATATTTAATTACCAATTGCTTAATGGTGGCAGGCAATCATCTGACCCATAGGTGGCAGCCATCTCAAGCCAGAGGACGAGAGGACTCTAGCCGCCACGCATATAAAGGATTTATAGTGAAAAACTGTTTTTACGGGTTATTTTTTTAGCCCTTGAATCTGCATTCAACAACTGTGTAAAATTAAAGTACAATGCAGGCATTTTCGATGACACAATTCACTCGAATTTTCACTTTTGTACCGTGCCGTAATCAACGTTTCGCGCCGTGGCCCTTCTACTAATGTCAATGACGAACGGAATGGGAGTTTGCGTGTTTACGCGGGTCGATTTACCAAACGCGCACGTGACCGCGGGCCGTCCCTGCCACCCCCCCCCTCCACCACCCCACCGCCACCGCGCTTTCCGTAGACCAGGTCCAGTATTGATACGGAATAGGAACGGTCACGTGACCAACGAGCCGCGTGCATTCGATTTAATTTCCTAGCGCGCATAGGAACCCGTCCCAACAACCTCCCTCCCCCCCACCTCCCGCTTATTCGCGCACGCGATTGGCCCACGCGCCCCCCCCCACCAACCCCACCCCCCACCCCCGGGGCCAATCGGCGCGCGCGCATCGCCAATGCGGGCTGCGAATTCCAAACGGCAGTGACGTCATCAGGGAAGAACGGCAAAGCTTGGGCGCGAAGGGGCCGGGGAGAGAGCGAGCGAGCGAGAGGGCATCGGATCGCGTCGCTCGTCGCTGTCTGACGCTTCATTAATCCCCTCCGCCTCCTCCTCCTCCTCCCGCCGCCGCCGCTAATTAACCGCACGCCGATAGAAAGCCAGCGAGGTTAAACGGCAGCAGCGACGACGGCGACGTCGACGAAAACAACGAACGGCGTAAAGATGGTGAAAAAGAGAAAAGGAAGGGTCGTGATCGACTCGGATAGCGACGACAGCCGCAGCGACGAAAGCATGGACGCGGTTAGTGATTGTTGGGCCCACCGCCGGCCGTCTTTGTCTCTCTACACCCCCCTCCCCTACCCTCCGAGCGTAGTGTGTGTGTGTGTGTTCTAACGCAGCCTTACGTGGGTTGTTCGTGTCTCAAACGAGCGTTGAGGCAATGCTCGCCTCCTGTTGGCAAACCCACAGCCGGCGGTGGGAATCCACGTTCCTGAACCCTAAACCCATAACCCCTAACCCCATACCCCTAAACCCCAAAGTGGGGCTGTACCAAAACAACATTGACTACGGATGGATGATGATGATGGGCTGAGTTAACGCCGCAGGAGGAGCCCGGAGTTGAACTCGCGTCTCTCGCCACCGAGGCTTAAAGCCAAAACCCGGTCCAGCCTCTACGTGAACATGTGTTGGACATTGCATTACTGTGCCTGCAATTACACGCACGTCGTCTTGCCAACACCCCGCACAAGTTTGTATGACCTCGCACAATTCAATAAACTGCATTAAGGCTTGGCTAAACTGCGGTACAACTTTGATCGTGCTGTGTTTGGCCGTGATGAACATGTGCAGTGCGTTTTTATCCCGCGACAGCTTTCGGAAGCCATTCATCATCATCATCATCCAGCAGTGGTTTGACCATGGCTCATGCTAACCCCACGAGTATTAAACACGGCATATAAGATACCAGCGTGGCTCAAAGGGTCGCATATTAATCCTAAGTATAGATAGGTCCCGGGTCGGAACTAAAAGAAGGGGAGGAGTGATGCAGTACAGTAGTGTACTGTACAATGAAATGTGTGTGCACGCTGTCTTCCAGCGGAGTTGTGAATGTCTTCTTAGGGAGCATCTGAGAACCTCAAACAGAGAAACGCCACGTAAATAGTGCCCGATATCTTTACCCGCATTTCACAAGTGATAGCTTGGCCCCTGTAACTTCACGGCATATGTTTATGGCAGTCATTCGTTTGGCCTAGATGCACGTATTCATAACGTTTTTGGGTTTAGATCGCGTTATTGATAAATGTGTCATAACCCTCCACCACCCGACACGGCCAATCAGCAAAAAAGTGTCACGTTGACAAAAGACAAATAGTTAACTGCTTTAGCCCACCGGTGTGTTGTAAATGTTGTGGTTTCACGCTTCAACACACCGATGGGCTAAAGCAGTGAACTCTTTGTCTTTTGTCAACGTGACACTTTTTTTGCTGATTGGCCGTGTCGGGTGGTGGAGGGTTACGACACATTTATAAATAACGCGATCTAAACCCAAAAACGTTGATTATGAATAATATTGATCGCGAAAGCCTGCCACGTGTTAAACTAGATGCACGTATGTTGAACTGTTTGCGCACCCTACGTAGTCAGCATTTTTAATTTTACAAAGAACACTGACTTGTTTTGGCATTTTGCGTCTCTTCAGCAGATGCTTTGTAAACAAACACTGCCCTAGCGACACTTAGACCAGTGAGCAAATGCTTTAAAACATACCAGACAGGAGGGAAACGCGTCCTAAAGGAGACAATCGCAGTGAAGATGGAGCCGTAAAAGCAGCTCCCTGTGCAGCAGCTGATCGGTGGGGCTTGCTGTGACTTGCAATGCAGGACCATGAGGGATTGTGGCAGGGTGGTGAGTCCTTCATCCAGCAGCAAATAGAAGCATGGGTGATGATAATGATTACTCGGTATGTTGCCATATTCTGTGTTGTAGGTGGATTAAAGCAGTTGAATAATTTCAAAATAAACTTGCTTCATTTAAGTTTTGCTTTTTTCACGAATTAAATGCTTTTGGAATTACTGTAAATGCGTTCATATTCTTGGTTCTTTCGGTAAAGTCACGTAGAAGCGAAATAATAAAATAATATTAATATAAAACAATAAAAATTCTCACGACGTTTCGACTGCAACACAAGCAATCATCATCAGGTGTGATGAAGAACCAAGAATATGAATCCCTGCAGTCACGAAAGCTTTAAATCAAAATGTAAATGCATTGTAGAATACATGAAACTTTTGCTTTGAAAGTGAGACATTTTAACCTCTAGCCGGGGAACGTAGTCATCATGCATCTCAAATGTGTTCACTCTTGTGATGTGCGCAAGCTAGGCCACGGTACCCATCACGCTGGGTGGGTGTGGAATGGACAGCTCGTATTGTTTTGACAGTCGGTGGGAAAATGCACAATGTACAGATGCGTTGTGTTCCTCGGCCGTAGGGGGGGGGGGGTTGCAGCGGTGTTCGTGCTCGGATGTGCCCCGCTCGTGTTTTTGTTTTGTTATTTTTAGTTTGATATGCGCAATGTTAGTCGCCGCGTCCACCGCCTGCAGACGTCATATTCCTGAGTTTATTCCTTCCGTCTTCTTGTGCAAACTTTGGGGCCGAATTTAAATGTCTTTCTGTTTTTGTATTTAGAGTTGTAGACGATATATACGTTTGAATTGTTATTTTAGTTCGGAGCCTGCTAGTATTGAATGACAATCTACCTATGCAACCTGAAAGGTTATCTACGAGTATAATTCTTCCTCAAGGTCGATCTCTTTAAGCCCCTACGTAATGTGTACATGTAATCGTGGGCAATCGCCTAGTTATTCATGAGTGGATACACTGTTCAGTTTCAGAGTTTGGATGGAGAAAAGCAAACAGCAAAAACGACAACAGCTGAAATAGTTACATCCCAACAGTCCCTCACCTGGTGTTTTTTAGCTGTTTCCCCGCTCCCCAATTCTGTTCTTGCCTATGGCAATATGTTCAGGAGATAATTGGCAATGTTGAGGGACTGCTTGGCACGAGAGGGCTTCAAGAGAGTTCTTGGTAGCTTTGCTATTTCTCCGTTGAAGGATCATTGGTTACTATAGTTTGTGTTTCATGGCCACAATAGCGCAGTCGCTTGTCTTCAATTTCCCATATATACACCTTGTGAGCAATCGAAGTCATGGCATGAGACGAAAAAGCCCTTCCGAATTCTTGCAGAGCATCATCATTAGACCTCCTTTGCCAGTATCAAAATATAATAATAGGGTTTTTCCCCTTTTTTCTGGCAACAAAATTGAAACCTTTTTACGAGGATTCATGTCTGCATTAACCACAATACTTGCAGTCAAAATGCAAACAAAAAACTTGGTGTGGACCAATCAGTTTCAAGGACAATGCATATATTATCATAGTATGTTTTTTTGTTTGCATGTTGACTGCAAGTATTGTGGTTAATGCAGACATAAATCATTGTAAAAAGGTTTCAGTTTTGTTGCCAGAAAAAAGGCGAAAACCCCTTTTAATTATATCTTGCAGAGCAGTACGATTCCCTTGCGTTAGAGAACAGCCCTGTAGAAGCGATATCGCGTACTACGATCACAGAGCCACCTCTGATCCCTCTAAGTGATCTCTGATCCCTCTAAGTGATCTCTGATCCACACAATAGGGGCTAGAACTTCCCCACGTACCATGCTACAGAGAGTTATGTTTGTCACAGGAAAGTAACATTTATATTGAAAATTCTCAGAGCTGAAATTTAGCGACATAAATGACATAGTCACGTAGAAGGGAAGTGATTAAATAATAATAATAACAATAAAACATAATAAAATCAAATAATTATTTGATTTTATTATGTTTTATTTTTCAAATAATTTTTTGATTTTATTATGTTTTATTTGTATTATTTTATTACTTCCCTTCTACGTGACTTTACCGAAAGAAACAAGAAGATGAATCCCTGCAGTCACGAAAGCTTTAAATCGAAATAAATGACATAGTAAGGTGCAATGTAATGATTTTTTTCACGTGCAGCCATTGGCTATCAGGTGGAAAATCATCATCTCTCTACACTTGCAACCCCAATTTAATCATGGACGGCTACCTTATCAGTGGCAGCTCTGACCTCAGCCACCCAGTCACCTCTTATACTCACCTCGTTCTTAATAACTACCAGCTTTAGCTCTCCAATGTGTTTTCGGGTGTTCTGCATGTTGTTCAGCATGATATCACACAACATGATGAACAACACATACTAGGAGCTGCTTCAGGTATAGAATTCAGTTCCTGAAGAAGTTCCTAGTACGTGGAGTGTCGTTTCACGACCTGGGACCATTCACTCGAAACTCCACTTGCTGCGATCTTCTTTTGGAACTTAATTCAGTTCCCAGCACGTGGAGAGAAACGTCGGACATTGTGCCGAACAACACTCGATACAACCCGAAAGCACATCCGAGAGGTATACAGCACAAAAGTGAGAGGCTACGTAGTAAGGAACTTTATCTTTAAAAAAAATAACGAATATACCCTTTGCATCAGAGGTGTAGTTGATCTCGTTTGACTGGTATGCACGGTTCTGAATAACGCGGCGTGCCTGCTCAGTCATTGAGTCGCACCGCGTGCATGTGCAGAGGGCCCCCCCCTCCATCCACGAGGCTTAAGGTGCACATAGCCTGACACAAGCGCCGTGGTGACGTTATCGCCACTTAGTGGCGAATGGCGATTGTTGTTACCGCCGTCATTTTGCCTCCCGTGCAGGAGTGGCTCTCGCTGGCCAAGCGCAAGCGCAGTGAGCCCGAGCAGCAGAGCAGCCCTTCTCCCGTACCTCCGGCTGCCACGCCACAACCGGCGGCGGCATCGGCGGCGGCGACGGCGGCAAAACGGTCAGACTCCTCCGACTCGGAGACGTCCGACAGCGACTTGGAGGTGAGATCGCGACACACTCGCTCTGACGCTTCATTCATTGCTTTACACTTTAAATCTCGGTTTAATCATGGGCGGCTGCATCTGGATTCAAATCCAGGTTCTTGATGGCACTGCTATATCGTTAATTGTGGAGTGATTTCATATTTGGGGTCAGATTTTTGTTCTGACGGTCTTTTTCTCAGCTTTTCAGATCGCATGTGCTCACATCGCTATTAGCGACACTATTGGAAAACACCAGAATGATGTGTGCCGGTCATTTCTTCATGATGGGAATCTCTCCTTAATCTATCCATCCACGGGCCTTCTGTTAATATGGAATGTGGGGTTGGCCTTTAACCAGCATACTATGTTTTGGGAATAGCGTTGTGAATACAGTCACCCCGAAGCATTGAATAAAAAATGTGGTAATTCTAGGCCATTGGCAGTTTGGTTAAACTAGGAAATAAAGGAAGTTATCATCGAGTGGCCCCTCCTTTTAAACTCTGAATAAATTAGATTATCACGGTTGGAAATGTTTTGGAACTCTGTAGCCAAAGGAAATCCTCTTGGCTCTATCCCAATGGAACGATGGTTATATATAGCACCATGCATTTTATATACACCACATATTCTGTATATTGAACTTTTTATTTGGTGATGCTGCTGCTGCATTGGCAGTAGTGCTCAAGCGCAAATAACAACACAAAAAACTCCACATTTGTCAAGAACACTGCATAAATAGGAACAAAAATTTATAAAGATATATTCTAGCTATGTTGTTACAAGTCGCCCCCCTCGCTATAAAATCTATTGCCACTTTTTTCTCTGAGATGGCAAGATTGGATTCTATTCGTTAAAATTTGCAGAATGTGCAGCATTTCAGGAACCACGTGAAAACCTTTCGTGCAACATGTACGCATCAAAATAATCAACGATTGCTCCCACAATTAAATTTGTGCCTTAAATGTATTTTGCAATTCTATCCCATTAAATCATCTACAACATTCAAAACTCATTAAGAGTCAGTGTGAAGAATGTTTATGGCAAGATAAATAAAGCCTCATTCCCATATTTGCGGCTTGACATAAAAAAATATAAGTGGTTATTTTACACATCCTGTCAGCTGCACGACCTTCTCGGCATTGCCTTCACGCAAGCCTAACTGCTGATGAGACAGTGAATGTGTTAAACCAGTGCAGAGTTTAATTGTATTAAGCTATTGCTTCTTGGAGTGCATATTATTCGCTGCATCGGTTCAACACAGGAAAACTGGGGCCGATTTCCATAAAATCAATGCGTCGTTACATGCCTAATACATACGAGAGGCGTCTTGACGGTCTTACGAGAGGTGTGTGCCTGCGTTTTCCACAGTGGACGGTCGGAGGCAACAACGCCAAGAAGAAGGGCAAGGGGAAGAGCGGCAAGAAGTCGAGTAAGAAGACGTCGGCCGTGGCCAAGACAGCGTCGGGGTCCTCCGAGGAGGAGAGTGCAGCGGAGGCGTCCGAGCCGGAGGAAGGTGCGGTCCCAGCACAGTACAGTCCAACGCCTCGGTCGGAGCAAGAGCTCGAACGGAGCAGAGCGGCAGGAGGCTTTAACCGTGGAAGGAGACGCGTGCACACGGAGCAACGCTGGTGGTTTTCTTCACCGGAGTCGCTTAGCCTCTTGGGCTGTTGGGTCCTGACCGTTTCCCTCATCCATCGCTGCCTCTCTTGACTGAGATAGCTTCCATCCTAATCCAACGTTTGATGTTTGACATCGATTCAGATGAAAGGGAAATAAACAATACGTAGAGATGAGAAAGCTATACACAAGAGGTGCCAACTATTATTCATATGTACAGATGTTATTACATCCTGTTCCCGGTGCACAGATGTCATGTATGTGTGTATGTTGAACTTTTTTGTGCACCGTACATAGGCAACCGTGCTAATCGGAGGTGCAGAAACACGTCGCAAAGTATTTACACGCGACCCCACGTCATGTGGCCCACCTACGCGCACTAATTTTGTTACGTGGCTCGCCAGGAAGCGCATTTGGAAGAACTGCCGTACCGAACCTTCTTCGTGGCCACAACGCCACCCCCCCTTCCCCCGCCGCCCTCTCTGTCCCCAGGGGAGGTGTCGGACTCGGACAGCAGCAGCGACTCTGGCTCGGGTTCGGCGAGCTCGTCCTCGTCGTCCTCATCGTCGGAAGGGAAGGACCAGTTCCACGATGGCTACGACGACGACCTGATGGGCGACGCAGAGGACCGCGCGCGCCTCTCCAAGATGACGGAGAAGGAGCGCGAGCAGGAGCTTTACAACCGCATCGAGAAGCGCGAGGTTCTCAAGACGAGGTCGGCATGCAAAAGCTCCCACCCCTAAGCACATTCAGTGGTGGCGTAGCCTGTTTGCAACAAGGCGTGAAATGGGTGACCCCCCCCCTCCAAACCCCATGTGTAATTTCGCCCCGCCCTCCACACCTCCATTTAGAACAGTTGGCTACGTACGGTGCGAAAGAAGTTAAATATAAGTCATAGTCAGAATCCAATGAGCTATAAAACTTTTTCACAGATATCCAGTCGGAGCGGGTCAGAACGTTACAACAACAAACAATACAAAAACACGATAGTTTCTGTATATACGTAGCCGGTGCCTTGTCCTCCGTTACACCGCCTGCACACGAGACAACTATGCCACTACATCCATTGTACTCATCATGAAAGTTGTTTGTCATTCCGCTTATGACTCAAGAACCAAAAGTGGTGCAGAGAAGAGCAATGCAAAAACTATCAAAATGCAGAATTGTTGTTTGAAATAGCATGACCTCACATTTAATGGAGCGATTGGCTTGTGATTACTCGCTAATTTACTATATTTTACCTACTCGTTTTGGTAATCCTTTAGTTTGGGGTTTTGTTTGTATCTGACATGTTGGCACTGTTTAAATCACTCGACTCACAATTATAAGGCTGTAATTTTCAAAGCAGCATTATTAGAGATTGACTCAGACCAACATTCTTTCAGGCCCAATAAAATTGTTACCACCATGGGACTTCAACATTGCTCTCTTCCAAAATAGATTTTTTTTTGGGTTAGATCGCGTAAATATAAATGTGCCGTTAAATCTGCCACCACCCAACACAGCCAATTAGTAAGGTGTGTCACGTGAACAAAACATGCTAATTCTTTACTTGTACAGCACACTGATGTTGGAGAATTCTGGAAAATGATGCTGGATGTAGTTAGCAGCTAAATGTCATACTCAAATTGTGAATGCCGTGGATTTACTCTCCAACACACCGATGTGCTGTACTAATAACGAATTGCCATGTTTTGTTTCGTGACAAACCTTACTAATTGGCTGTGGCAGGTGGTGGCTGGTTTAACGACGCTTATATTGAAACGATCTAACACAAAAACCTCTTATGGACAATATTGATCGCGAAAGCCTACATTTTAAATTGCTTTCTTTAACGGAGAGACTGGCCCTCATCATGATAATATGAAATTTACACCACTGGCACCGCCCCAGGCTCATGTCAGCAGGGAGACATTGTAACATTGTTTCCTCTAATTTGCTTCATGTGTGGCTGATGATGGTGATTTTGTATGGAAAAGAAATACCAACTATTAGCGATTCAGTTCTAAGTGATTTAGCCCTTCAATTGCTTTGTATGAGAGTTAGTGAATTGCAGATATAGCTACCCATTCATTCACCCACCGCCTTCAAATATTTATTGGGCATAGTGCGAATTTATGCGTCCGTGGTTTGATGTTCATCGCGGCAATCACGCGCAGGAGTGAGTTTGATTTTTCACTTGTGCATCAGGTATCTTCCATGGCTTGTGCGTAGATCCAGCCAAGCTTTGGCCACTGTGTCCATGGAAAATTGAAGATGGCCAGTCGGGTGGTGTCGTTGCTGATGAGCGTGTGTGTTGGTGAAACCGAGCAATGTGGTGGTGGGGTCATTGTTCAGAATCTGTTGGGCACATTTCTTGAAGCCCACTAGCCGGTCGAGCCGTTGCGATCCTGAAATTCGGTTCAATACAGCGTCTTTGCGCCGTGTTTTAAAAAATCCATTTCGGATGCACGACTCGTAAACGATTAACGCCGCAGATTCGAGATCGAGAAGAAACTGAAAGCGAGAAAGAAGAAGGAGAAACGAAAGAAGCACGAGCATGACCGGGAGCACAGGGAGAAGCAGAGCAAGGTGCAGGAGACACCCGTAAAGGTGAGACGGCAGAAAAATTATCTATCTGACGAGATTGCAAAATGTTTTGCTGGCTGGCTGGCTGGCACGCGGTGGTGACATTACCACGTACATCTGCATGATGACGTCACACTGATCTCACGCCTACCAACCCCCCAACCCCCTACCCACCCCCCACCCCGGCTGTGGATCCTGCACAAATGCATGGACAGTGCCAGGAATTTTTTTTTTAACAAATGTTTTTATCGTAGTTGTTTTTCAAGTTTATTTTGTGTCGGTGAGAATTGCCAAGAGACCAGAATAGTCGTCATTTGCAACATTGACCTGGTGCAATGATTACTGTTTTGTCTAATTCCAATTGAAAAAAAAGTGCGGTGTAATTTTCTAACGAAGAAAACTTTGACCGTGATGCCGGCACACACGATGGTCTACTCTTTGCGAATTAAGTCAGGGGGGCTTTAACGCACGATGTGAAGTATACGGCACTCACCATGTACGGTTATTGCAGCCGCAGTAATAATCAGGGGCGGCCTCTCTAGTTGAACCGTGAACCTCTGCAACAAGCGGTGAACGTGCGACTACCGCCGGTGCCACGTGAGCGGTGGCGAAACGGAACGAACGTGCGAACGCGTCCCCCGTGACTGACGGTGACTGAGGATTTGGCATCGGCGTTGCCTTGGGCAGGTGATGTCGCACAGCAAGGAGCGGCGCTCAAAGCGGGACGAGAACTCGACAAGAAGTCCCAGGCCATGGAGGAGCTCAAAGCCGAGCGCGAAAAGAAGAAAAACAAGACTGGTGGGTGACCACACACCTTCCTCTGCCTAACCCCTCTCTGCCCCCATCTCACCACAACCCCCACTGCCCGTGTGGACACTTTGGATCTTGCCAGGGCAACCCGATGCCGACCAGGCCAAAGCCTGCCAGTTGTTAGTAGATGCAGCCATGCACAGCCGCACGAGAGTGTGCGCTGCTCTGCGCCCCTTTGCAGTTTTAAAGGGTCACGTAGAAGGGAAATAATAATATAATAAAAATAAAATTCTCACGACGTTTTTTTTTTATTTTCTTGCTGTGGTTTTCACACCTGATGATGATTGCATGTGTTGCAATCGAAACGTCGTGAGAATTTTATTGTTTTATTTTTATTATTTTATTATTTCCCTTCTACGTGACTTTACCGAAAAAACCAAGAATATGAATACCTGCAGTCACGAAAGCTTTAAATCGAAATTAGGGTCAGTGATAGTTTGCCTTCGGCAGTGGATTGACTGGCTGACGGTGATCCTGATGGCTTGTGACTTTAAGCTGCACGTGAGGCATGGCAGTTGTTCAAGAGTAGCATGATATCATACTCTTGGTTCTTTCGGTAAAGTCACGTAGGTATAAAATAAATTAAATCACGACATTCGATTGCAACACAAGCAATCATCATCAGAAACTCGTGATTTATTTTATTTCTACCTACGTGACTTTACCGAAAGAACCAAAAAGTATGGATCCCTGCAGTCAGGAAAACTTCAAAACTAGCATTATATCACTTTTTATGATGTCACTTCAATGAATTGTCTGAGCCCACACTCTTCAATTGGCATCGCTCACCACCCTTTCTTTCACCATTGCTCCGTTGTTGCATGTGTGACTTCTCACCTCCATGAATGAAACTACGGTATTCACAATGACCGAGTACAGTTCATATTACAGACTCCAAGCTGGTATCATAAATTACTCAAATAATTGGATATCCCCAGCTCTACATCTATCTGCACCATCCGGAGCTTAACTCAGAGTGGGAAGTGCGTGAGTTCAAGTAGCCAGTCGAGGGTCATGTTACTCATGATTATCCCTTTGGATGAGGGAGTCTTATCTATTCTCTTATGTTTGGAGATTCTGCATACATTCACTTGTGCGAACTCATCGTCGGAAGGAACTTTTTTTATTTGTTATTTATATTCTCCACAATGACCCGATTGATTGTAATTTAATGTCAAACCAAGACCTGAATCTTAAAGAGAGGGAATCCTTCTCGATAACAACTGGCAGTTCACCAGCATTGATTCAAGCAAGCTTGACTTTGCTGAATAGACACACTGTGCCGACAAAGGTCCAGTGTTTTGCTTGTACTGAATCAATGCTGCTGAAATATCCACTCCCAGAAGGCCTTGCGTGTGGAGAGACTGATATATGAAGGTGATATATTGTCTACCCATCTTTGTTTGATACCGAAGGACTGTCGTCCGTCATTGTTTTATTTTGACCAATTGCAGCGGAGCTTCTGGCACGGAAGCAGCGTCTAAACGCGAGCGACGTGTACTCTGACGATGACGAGGAGGAGGAGAGAGAGGATGACAAGGCGAGCGAGAAGAGCGACCAAAGCTCCTGCTCGTCGTCCTCCTCCGATGAGGAGGAAGAGTAAGTCGTTGGGTTTCTTCTGCGTGCGCGTGCCCTCCCTGAACGAGCGCCAACTCCTAACGACTCCACACGTCTTTGGTCCGCCCTCGAATGGAATTCTGCTACCGCATATTTCAGGCAGTGTTAACATCACTAAAAGCCTATTAATAAGAACCAATCAAAAGCTTCCCCCCCCTTATTAAGGAGCCAGCCATGTATGCTGAAATCTAT